GAATGAGGTGAGTGTGGAATGAGGCGAGTGTGGAATGAGGTGAGTGTGGAATGAGGTGGGTGTGGAATGAGGTGAGTGGAATGAGGTGAGTGTGGAATGAGGTAGAGTGTGGAATGAGGTGAGTGTGGAATGAGGTGAGTGTGGAATGACGTGAGTGTGGAATGAGGTGAGTGTGGAATGAGGTGATTGTGGAATGAGGTGAGTGTGGAATGAGATGAGTGTGGAATGAGGTGAGTGTGGAATGAGGTGAGTGTGGAATGAGGTGAGTGTGGAATGAGATGAGTGTGGAATGAGGTGAGTGTGGAATGAGGTGAGTGTGGAATGAGGTGAGTGTGGAATGAGGTGAGTGTGGAATGAGGTGAGTGTGGAATGCGGTGAGTGTGGAATGAGGTGAGTGTGGAATGAGGTGAGTGTGGAATGAGGTGAGTGGAATGAGGTGAGTGTGGAATGAGGTAGAGTGTGGAATGAGATGCGTGTGGAATGAGGTGAGTGTGGAATGAGGTGAGTGTGGAATGAGGTGAGTGTGGAATGAGGTGAGTGTGGAATGAGGTGAGTGTGGAATGAGGTGAGTGTGGAATGAGGTGAGTGTGGAATGAGGTGAGTGTGGAATGAGGTGAGTGTGGAATGAGGTGAGTGGAATGAGGTGAGTGTGGAATGAGGTAGAGTGTGGAATGAGATGCGTGTGGAATGAGGTGAGTGTGGAATGAGGTGAGTGTGGAATGAGGTGAGTGTGGAATGAGGTGAGTGTGGAATGAGGTGAGTGTGGAATGAGATGAGTGTGGAATGAGGTGAGTGTGGAATGAGGTGAGTGTGGAATGAGGTGAGTGTGAAATGAGGTGAGTGTGGAATGAGGTGAGTGTGGAATGAGGTGAGTGTGGAATGAGGTGAGTGTGGAATGAGGTGAGTGTGGAATGAGGTGAGTGGAATGAGGTGAGTGTGGAATGAGGTGAGTGTGGAATGAGATGAGTGTGGAATGAGGTGAGTGTGGAATGAGGTGAGTGTGGAATGAGGTGAGTGTGGAATGAGATCAGTGTGGAACGAGGTGAGTGTGGAATGAGGTGAGTGTGGAATGAGGTGAGTGTGGAATGAGGTGAGTGTGAAATGAGGTGAGTGTGGAATGAGGTGAGTGTGGAATGAGGTGAGTGTGGAATGAGGTGAGTGTGGAATGAGGTGAGTGTGGAATGAGGTGAGTGGAAAGAGGTGAGTGTGGAATGAGGTGAGTGTGGAATGAGATGAGTGTGGAATGAGGTGAGTGTGATATGAGGTGAGTGTGGAATGAGGTGAGTGTGAAATGAGGTGAGTGTGGAATGAGGTGAGTGTGGAATGAGGTGAGTGTGGAATGAGGTGAGCGTGGAGTGAGGTGAGTGTGGAATGAGGTGAGTGTGGAATGAGGTGAGTGTGGAATGAGGTGAGTGTGGAATGAGGTGAGTGTGGAATGAGGTGAGTGTGGAATGAGGCGAGTGTGGAATGAGGTGAGTGTGGAATGAGGTGGGTGTGGAATGAGGTGAGTGGAATGAGGTGAGTGTGGAATGAGGTAGAGTGTGGAATGAGGTGAGTGTGGAATGAGGTGAGTGTGGAATGAGGTGAGTGTGGAATGAGGTGAGTGTGGAATGAGGTGAGTGTGGAATGAGGTGACTGTGGAATGAGATGAGTGTGGAATGAGGTGAGTGTGGAATGAGGTGAGTGTGGAATGAGGTGAGTGTGGAATGAGATGAGTGTGGAATGAGGTGAGTGTGGAATGAGGTGAGTGTGGAATGAGGTGAGTGTGAAATGAGGTGAGTGTGGAATGAGGTGAGTGTGGAATGAGGTGAGTGTGGAATGAGGTGAGTGTGGAATGAGGTGAGTGTGGAATGAGGTGAGTGTGGAATGAGGTGAGTGTGGAATGAGGTGAGTGTGGAATGAGGCGAGTGTGGAATGAGGTGCGTGTGGAATGAGGTGGGTGTGGAATGAGGTGAGTGGAATGAGGTGAGTGTGGAATGAGGTAGAGTGTGGAATGAGGTGAGTGTGGAATGAGGTGAGTGTGGAATGAGGTGAGTGTGGAATGAGGTGAGTGTGGAATGAGGTGAGTGTGGAATGAGGTGAGTGTGGAATGAGGTGAGTGTGGAATGAGATGAGTGTGGAACGAGGTGAGTGTGGAATGAGGTGAGTGTGGAATGAGGTGAGTGAGGAATGAGGTGAGTGTGGAATGAGGTGAGTGTGGAATGAGGTGAGTGTGGAATGAGGTGAGTGTGGAATGAGGTGAGTGTGGAATGAGGTGAGTGTGGAATGAGGTGAGTGTGGAATGAGGTGAGTGTGGAATGAGGTGAGTGTGGAATGAGGTAGAGTGTGGAATGAGATGCGTGTGGAATGAGGTGAGTGTGGAATGAGGTGAGTTTGGAATGAGGTGAGTGTGGAATGAGGTGAGTGTGGAATGAGGTGAGTGTGGAATGAGGTGAGTGTGGAATGAGGTGAGTGTGGAATGAGGTGAGTGTGGAATGAGGTGAGTGTGAAATGAAGTGAGTGTGGAATGAGGTGAGTGTGGAATGAGGTGAGTGTGGAATGAGGTGAGTGTGGAATGAGGTGAGTGTGGAATGAGATGAGTGTGGAATGAGGTGAGTGTGGAATGAGGTGAGTGTGGAATGAGATGAGTGTGGAATGAGGTGTGGAATGAGGTGAGTGTGGAATGAGGTGAGTGTGAAATGAGGCGAGTGTGGAATGAGGTGAGTGTGGAATGAGGTGAGTGTGGAATGAAGTGAGTGTGGAGTGAGGTGAGTGTGGAATGAGGTGAGTGTGGAATGAGGTGAGTGTGGAATGAGGTGAGTGTGGAATGAGGTGAGTGTGGAATGAGGTGAGTGTGGAATGAGGTGAGTGTGGAATGAGGTGAGTGTGGAATGAGGTGAGTGTGAAATGAGGTGAGTGTGGAATGAGGTGAGTGTGGAATGAGGTGAGTGTGGAATGAGGTGAGTGTGGAATGAGGTGAGTGTGGAATGAGGTGAGTGGAATGAGGTGAGTGTGGAATGAGGTGAGTGTGGAATGAGCTGAGTGTGGAATGAGGTGAGTGTGGAATGAGGTGAGTGTGGAATGAGGTGAGTGTGAAAAGAGGTGAGTGTGGAATGAGGTGAGTGTGGAATGAGGTGAGTGTGGAATGAGATGAGTGTGGAATGAGGTGAGTGTGGAATGAGGTGAGTGTGGAATGAGGTGAGTGTGAAAAGAGGTGAGTGTGGAATGAGGTGAGTGTGGAATGAGGTGAGTGTGGAATGAGGTGAGTGTGGAATGAGATGAGTGTGGAACGAGGTGAGTGTGGAATGAGGTGAGTGTGGAATGAGGTGAGTGAGGAATGAGGTGAGTGTGGAATGAGGTGAGTGTGGAATGAGGTGAGTGTGGAATGAGGTGAGTGTGGAATGAGGTGAGTGTGGAATGAGGTGAGTGTGGAATGAGGTGAGTGTGGAATGAGGTGAGTGTGGAATGAGGTGAGTGTGGAATGAGGTAGTGTGGAATGAGATGCGTGTGGAATGAGGTGAGTGTGGAATGAGGTGAGTTTGGAATGAGGTGAGTGTGGAATGAGGTGAGTGTGGAATGAGGTGAGTGTGGAATGAGGTGAGTGTGGAATGAGGTGAGTGTGGAATGAGGTGAGTGTGGAATGAGGTGAGTGTGAAATGAAGTGAGTGTGGAATGAGGTGAGTGTGGAATGAGGTGAGTGTGGAATGAGGTGAGTGTGGAATGAGGTGAGTGTGGAATGAGATGAGTGTGGAATGAGGTGAGTGTGGAATGAGGTGAGTGTGGAATGAGATGAGTGTGGAATGAGGTGTGGAATGAGGTGAGTGTGGAATGAGGTGAGTGTGAAATGAGGCGAGTGTGGAATGAGGTGAGTGTGGAATGAGGTGAGTGTGGAATGAAGTGAGTGTGGAGTGAGGTGAGTGTGGAATGAGGTGAGTGTGGAATGAGGTGAGTGTGGAATGAGGTGAGTGTGGAATGAGGTGAGTGTGGAATGAGGTGAGTGTGGAATGAGGTGAGTGTGGAATGAGGTGAGTGTGGAATGAGGTGAGTGTGAAATGAGGTGAGTGTGGAATGAGGTGAGTGTGGAATGAGGTGAGTGTGGAATGAGGTGAGTGTGGAATGAGGTGAGTGTGGAATGAGGTGAGTGGAATGAGGTGAGTGTGGAATGAGGTGAGTGTGGAATGAGCTGAGTGTGGAATGAGGTGAGTGTGGAATGAGGTGAGTGTGGAATGAGGTGAGTGTGAAAAGAGGTGAGTGTGGAATGAGGTGAGTGTGGAATGAGGTGAGTGTGGAATGAGATGAGTGTGGAATGAGGTGAGTGTGGAATGAGGTGAGTGTGGAATGAGGTGAGTGTGAAAAGAGGTGAGTGTGGAATGAGGTGAGTGTGGAATGAGGTGAGTGTGGAATGAGGTGAGTGTGGAATGAGGTGAGTGTGGAGTGAGGTGAGTGTGGAATGAGATGAGTATGGAATGAGGTGAGTGTGGAATGAGGTGAGTGTGGAATGAGGTGAGTGTGGAATGAGGTGAGTGTGGAATGAGGTGAGTGTGGAATGAGGTGAGTGTGGAATGAGGTGAGTGTGGAATGAGGTGAGTGTGGAATGAGGTGAGTGGAATGAGGTGAGTGTGGAATGAGGTGAGTGTGGAATGAGATGAGTGTGGAATGAGGTGAGTGTGGAATGAGGTGAGTGTGGAATGAGGTGAGTGTGAAATGAGGTGAGTGTGGAATGAGATGAGTGTGGAATGAGGTGAGTGTGAAATGAGGTGAGTGTGGAGTGGAATGAGGTGAGTGTGGAATGAGGTGAGTGTGGAATGAGGTGAGTGTGGAGTGAGGTGAGTGTGGAATGAGGTGAGTGTGGAATGAGGTGAGTGTGGAATGAGATGAGTGTGAATGTAGAGCAAAGGTTGGCACGTGACTTGGGAATGACTCCATATGGTTACAAGTGCATGTGGCAGCGTGTGGGAGCAGGCAAGGAGGAAGATGAAAAGCACGGAGCAGGCAAGAAAAAACAGACCACACAGAGCAGGTTATTTGGCAAGGAATGCAAGGAAGAAGGGAGAAGCAGGGGCACCTCGGGAAACTTGTCCCAGAGTATTTGGAGGGGCTTGCAGTCGAAGACGCCACGGTGGGGCGACTGCACGGTGATCATGGCCATGTGGTCCACCAGTGCCACCACCCGGTAGTCGCTGTGCCCCAACACGCCCAGCATCTTCACCTCCACCCACCTCATACTGCCCGCACGCCACCCCGGGGGCACACCGGCGCATGCAAGATGGGATGGGAACATGGTTGCAGGCAGGCAGTAATGAGTTGATTCAGAATGACGAGCGAAAATGGAATTGACACGGTGTCATCACCTGGTGGCATGGCGTCATCACCTGGTGGCATGGCGTCATCACCTGGTGGCATGGCGTCATCACCTGGTGGCATGGCGTCATCACCTGGTGGCATGGCGTCATCACCTGATGGCATGGCGTCATCACCTGGTGGCATGGCGTCATCACCTGGTGGCATGGCGTCATCACCTGGTGGCATGGCGTCATCACCTGGTGGCATGGCGTCATCACCTGGTGGCATGGCGTCATCACCTGGTGGCATGGCGTCATCACCTGGTGGCATGGCGTCATCACCTGGTGGCATGGCGTCATCACCTGGTGGCATGGCGTCATCACCTGGTGGCATGGCGTCAGCACCTGGTGGCATGGCGTCAGCACCTGGTGGCATGGCGTCAGCACCTGGTGGCATGGCGTCAGCACCTGGTGGCATGGCGTCATCACCTGATGGCATGGCGTCATCACCTGATGGCATGGCGTCATCACCTGGTGGCATGGCGTCAGCACCTGGTGGCATGGCGTCAGCACCTGGTGGCATGGCGTCAGCACCTGGTGGCATGGCGTCATCACCTGATGGCATGGCGTCATCACCTGATGGCATGGCGTCATCACCTGGTGGCATGGCGTCATCACCTGGTGGCATGGCGTCATCACCTGGTGGCATGACGTCATCACCTGGTGGCATGGCGTCATCACCTGGTGGCATGGCGTCATCACCTGGTGGCATGGCGTCATCACCTGGTGGCATGGCGTCAGCACCTGGTGGCATGGCGTCATCACCTGGTGGCATGGCGTCATCACCTGGTGGCATGGCGTCATCACCTGGTGGCATGGCGTCATCACCTGGTGGCATGGCGTCAGCACCTGGTGGCATGGCGTCAGCACCTGGTGGCATGGCGTCATCACCTGGTGGCATGGCGTCATCACCTGGTGGCATGGCGTCATCACCTGGTGGCATGGCGTCATCACCTGGTGGCATGGCGCCATCACCTGGTGGCATGGCGTCATCACCTGGTGGCATGGCGTCATCACCTGTTGGCATGGCGTCATCACCTGGTGGCATGGCGTCATCACCTGGTGGCATGGCGTCATCACCTGGTGGCATGGCGTCATCACCTGGTGGCATGGCGTCATCACCTGGTGGCATGGCGTCATCACCTGGTGGCATGGCGTCATCACCTGGTGGCATGGCGTCATCACCTGGTGGCATGGCGTCATCACCTGGTGGCATGGCGTCATCACCTGGTGGCATGGCGTCATCACCTGGTGGCATGGCGTCATCACCTGGTGGCATGGCGCCATCACCTGGTGGCATGGCGTCATCACCTGGTGGCATGGCGTCATCACCTGGTGGCGGACCAAATGATCACCTGGTGGCGGACCAAATGATGATGTCATAAGCGGAGTAGCTGGCTGCCAGGAACTCGTGCAGGTCTGCATGGCGGGATGGAGGGGGCAGGGGCTGCGGGACGGGATGTAGGGCGGGAGGAGGGAGTGGGAGGGAGTAGAGGGGAGAGGCAGGTGGTGCAGAGAGGGAGAGTAAGGAGGTGGGTGAGATGCAGCGAGTGTGCAGCAGCGATGCACGAGCTCACCCAGTGCGGAGCGCTCTGCCCTGCCCAGAACGGCTCCCTTTTTCACTCCCCCCGCCCTCTCCACTTTCACCTGCCCGCCCCTCTGCACCCATTCCCACACGACTCCCACACCCCTGCTCGCCCTCAACCCATGCCCTCCCCACTGCTGCACATCTCATCACCTCCCTCACAATCAGTGTCTCACATCCTCATCCGCTCACCCCACGTGTATGCAACCGGCACATGCATGCTGGGTGGCGCCGCACTAGCTGTGTCGCACAATCTACCCCCACCAGCAGTCCCTTGGCACTCACAGGGGCGCATGAGGCTCACTCACAGGGGCGCATGAGGCTCACTCACAGGGGCGCATGAGGCTCACTCACAGGGGCGCATGAGGCTCACTCACAGGGGCGCATGAGGCTCACTCACAGGGGCGCATGAGGCTCACTCACAGGGGCGCATGAGGCTCACTCACAGGGGCGCATGAGGCTCACTCACAGGGGCGCATGAGGCTCACTCACAGGGGCGCATGAGGCTCACTCACAGGGGCGCATGAGGCTCACTCACAGGGGCGCATGAGGCTCACTCACAGGGGCGCATGAGGCTCACTCACAGGGGCGCATGAGGCTCACTCACAGGGGCGCATGAGGCTCACTCACAGGGGCGCATGAGTTGGTTGGCATTCTCAGCGGGCGACACGTGGTCGAAGAGCGTGTAGTCGATGTCCAGCACCAGCAGCCGCTTGCCCACCCGTGGGGGGTTCAGCACCTTCAGCTGCCAGCCGGGTGCAGGGGAGAAAGAGAGGAGGGGAAGAGGGGGAGAAGTGGGTGAGGGAGAGAGAGGGTCCACTCACAAGTCAAGAGAATCCTAATAGGAATGGTGAGGAGGCGAGAGGGAAGCAACAGAAAGGGTAGTTGTGCAACGGCGCACCTTGAAGTGGTGGGAGCGGCGCACCTTGAAGTGGTGGGAGCGGCGCACCTTGAAGTGGTGGGAGCGGCGCACCTTGAAGTGGTGGGAGCGGCGTCTGAGCTTGGCGAGGTTCTCCGGGCGGTCCTTGATGTCGACCGCCTCGTCCTCCGGCAGCTGCAGGTCGTCCACCACCTCCACCGCCTCCTCTGCTGATGGGCCCACCACGATCTCACTCTCCACCGTGCTGCATGGGGGGAAGGGGGGAGGGGAGAAACACACACGCCGCACCGTGGAACATTCGCAGCAAAGCTTCGCTCGTGCTTCAAAGAAATAGGAGAAGCATACACCTAGCATCCACAATGCAGTTAGTTCGCACTGCGGACCTCGTAACAAGTGACTTCCGAACCTCGATTGGCGAGTAAGGGTCGCCCACAGTCATGAGGCGTCGCAACGCGGTCACTTGCTGATCGTAACCGCCCGGCATGCGACCTTGGTGTACAAGTGCTAGCGCACGTTCGCATGTGGTCACACAGATCACTACCACTTACCTCATAAAGACAGCTCAGCCCATCCACACAGTTCACCCCATCCACACAGTTCACCCCACGCCTCACCCCATCACCACGCCTCACCCCATCACCACGCCTCACCCCATCATCACCGCGCCTCACCCCATCTCGCCTCACCCCATCATCATGATCTTGAGGGAGGGTTTGATGGCGAGCTGTGACAGCAGAGTGGAGTCGGGGGCGGGGCGGCTGGCGAGCTTGAGGTTGAGCAGCTTCTGCCGCGTGGGCAGCACGCCCGTGGCCTCGCAGATGCGCCGCTTCAACTCGCCCACCGTGTCGTCACCGCTCGCCTGCACCGACACCTCCTTGCCCGCCCACCGCACGCACAAACTCATCTCCTCCTCCTCCGCCGCACCTGCTGCTGCGCTCCCTGTGCTCCCCGGGGGCTCTGGGCCCGACGTAGTGGCCATGGCGCGGAGCGGTGAAGAGCGGTGCGAGGTGGCGTGAGTGCGGTGAGGCAGGGCGTTGCAGGTGGGATCACTTCAAAAAGACGCTGCCTAGCGGGCGACGAGAAGTGCGAAATCCAGAAGGTTCAGACAGGGGGAGGGGGGGTGGGCAGAGAGGGGGGAGCGGAGAGGAAGGAGGGCAGAGAGGGGTGAGGGGGGGAGGCGGAGTAAGGATGGGACGAGACGATGGGTGAATACGAGGCATGGCGGTGGGTCACGCGCCTCGACCTTCGGCACGCCATCCGCTCCTCTCCACCCACTCCTCACAACCGCCGCAAACCTTTCCCTTGCCTGCTCACACCTTGCATCCTTCCTCCCCTTCTCGGCCTTCCCCAGCCCGCCCCTCCCCTTCCCTGTCCCTCTCCCTCCCCTCCTGCCCTTCCCTGCGCGCGAGCCACGACGGCACACCCACCGAGCACGGCTGCCACCGTTACGAGCGGGACACGTCGCTGCGCGCACTGGGCTTCGCGGCGCCACCACCCACCTGCTCCTCGCGGCTTCCCAGGCCACCAGTCGCCCCGCTGCAGTCGCCCCGCTGCAGTCGCCGCGCAGACACGCCCCGCACCTCACCGCACCCGCGGCGCGGCGTTGTGTGGCTCGCGTGTCAACCCCGCAGATGGTGGGCTGGTGGCCTCGGCTCAAACGGCGTGAGCGCGCCCCTGATATGACCGAATTACCTCCCGCGTGTTCGGCTGCTCACAGCTGTGCGAAAACGGAAAAGATCGGAGATTTCGAACACGCCCGGAGCAGCGGCTGCCAATATATTCCCGACGAAATGGAACGATGCTCGGCGCGCAGGCGAGGTTGGCAGAGCGAACACCGTTATTGAGCTTCTTACGTACCCAACTCACCACATAACGTTTAAAGAATCACTTCATCGCCATATGTGGTTTCCGTTCTTGGATATACCACCACAAGGTAAAAATGCAATTTCAATAAAGGAATAGCGCGTGTTATAAGAATGGAAAAAATGTGTTTTTCCAAATGGTTGAAGGGCGAGAATAATTGGACTAAAACTCGCGGGCCAAGAAGTTTAACGGTATGATAATTGGTTGGGGCAAGAGATGAAATTGGCCAAGATTTTGGGTGCCAGGGTCACACTCAGGCCCTACGATATCAGGATTTTTTCCCTGAAAATCCTGATTTTCGGCCTAGTTTTGTATACCTACCTGTTACAATCCCAAGTGGGACTTAGCGAAAAGGATCGCTCAGGGTTGATCGCAGAGTAGTGTTGCAGCGGAAGTTTGAATCTCAGGTAAGAGTGAATATAAATGACTAAGTTGATAAAAGCATGCATACATCGGGTTTATATAAGAGTACAGGGGAATACGAAAAGACCTAGACTAGCCATGTACTCTAAGGGGTACATTCCCTTATTCTAACCAAATTCAAACCGTGCGGCGCGGGAACCCGTTTCAAACCCGTTCCCGCTCTTTTCACTTCAAATGTTTCTGCCTGCATCGGTCTTGGTCAGACGGTTGCTGCGTCGCTTCGACTCTTTTGACTCCTCGACTTCATACACGGTAGAGTCGGCTGCTGCAGCATACAGGAATGCCTACTCATGCAATTTCATATCGTAACACTCCCCTTCATTCCTGGGCGCAGGAGGAGCTGACTCGCTTGACTACTCCGGTGAGGTCAGAGCAGTGCTTGTACTGCTGACGTGGCAGGCGCTTGGTGAGGAAGTTTGCTGCCATATCAGTAGTCGGGCAGTAGGCGAGGTCAACTTTTCCTTGGTCAATTTCGTCCTTGACGAAAAAGTACCGGAGTGCGATGTGCTTCGTGCGGTTCACGAAACCTGGCTTGTTCGCGATCCTGATGGCACTCTGGTTGTCGCAGTGGAGGCGAAAGGTTGGCGAAGTTGGAATTTTCGCCTCCTATAGCAGCTCCTGCAGGTACAGGCCTTCGCGAACTGCTGCTGTCGCGGCGATGTATTCTGCTTCAGCCGATGACAGGGCAACCAGCTGTTAGAATGTAGAACTGAACGAGAATGAATGAAACTAGGCAGCAGGGTGATACAAGTAGGAAACCCTAGCAATGTTGTACCCTCTAAGGCTAAACCCACTATAGCCAACACAATAGAAACATGTATAATGTTTGACACACCCCCATAGGCTAAGTGGGAGACAACCAGATGGTCACAAGACCAGACAAAGCAAAGCAAAGCAAGCTCAGGGTGGATCTCAAGGAAACCACACAAATTCCGAGCACAAGCAAGCGGTCACAAGACCAGTTCACATGCAGTTTGATAATATAACAAGAGGTACAGTGATCACAACCTAGCAAGTGTAAGCATGCAGGTATATATATATAGAGATCACAGTACAAGCAGAGTCAAGAAGTAAGCAAGTGAGGCACAGTAGGCACAAGGCCTAGAACAGTACAGAAACGCTGATGATCACAAGGCTGAAGCGCCTTGGTGAACACATCAGCAGTGTTGGCCCGAGTGGCCACGTAAGCAAGACGAAGCTGACCACGCTGCTGCAGCTCTCGAGCAAGGAAGTAGCGCAGAGCGATGTGCTTCGTTCTGTGCTCCAGTCTGTGCTCCTGACACAAGGCAATCATGGCCTTGTTGTCGACGTACAGCACTGGAGGAGAACGAGGCCGCTCTCCCAGGTCGGTCAGCAGGTAGGTGAGCCAGCGTAACTCCTGTGCAGCCATGGCTGTGGCGTAGATCTCAGCCTCACAACTGGAGCTGAGAACTGAAGACGAGCGTGTAGAACGACAAGAAACTGAACCAGAGTCAAGGCTGAAGGTGTAACCCTGAGACGACCGCTGCGTAGCCTGGTCGTCAACCCAAGAAGCCTCTGAGTGCCCAGTGAGGACAACGTCGCTCCGTCCTCCAAGCACAAGCCCCATGCCCGACGTACTGCACAAGGAGCGCAACACCCTCTTAGCGGCATCCATGTGCTCCTTCCGGTGACGGCCAGGAGCGAGATAGCGTGCTAGGATGCTAAGAGGGTATGCGAGGTCAAGTCGAGTGCAGGTCATCAGGTACATGAGGCAGCCCACAAGCTCTGGATACGGGCCACTCGGCTCTACGGACTCATCCGAAGGCAGAGCTGAGAGCGAGTGACCGGTAGGCAGAGGAGTGGCCTGAGGCGAGGAGTACGTGAAGCGGAAGCGCTGAAGGACCTGCTGCACCATGTGTGACTGAGTCAAGGTGATGGTGGACTGTGCTCTGTCCCGGGTGATCCGCAAGCCAAGATAGCTTGTCAGCTCACCCAGGTCTGTGCACGTGTGTCTCTTCTGCAGCTCCGACTTCACGTGGGCGAGTGCCTCAGTGTCAGCAGTAGCAAAGACCAAGTCGTCTACGTACACGAGAACGTAGAACGGCGGCAGAGTGGTGCCGGTGCGTAGAAACAACGACGGGTCAGCAGTAGAAGGAGCAAACCCAAGAGCAGCAAGAGTAGTCCTCAGTGTGTCGTGCCACTCACGGGGTGCCTGGCGGAGACCGTAGACTGGCCGCCGGAGGCTCCACTGAGTACCAGCAGGGAACGACCCAGTGAAGCCAGGTGGGCGGCGCAGCCAGATCTCCTCGTGCAGGCTGCCCTGTAGGAAAGCAGTGCTGAAGTCAAGAGAGAAGAGCTCGTAGTCACGCTGAGCGGCGACGTGCAGCAGAACCCGAAGAGTGGTCATCTTCGGGGTCAGGGAGAAGGTCTGGAAGAAGTCAACTCCCTCTCGCTGACTGAAGCCTCGTGCAACGTAACGCGCCTTGAAGACAGGCGGAGAACCCGGCGGCCGCTTCACCCTGAAAATCCACATGCCACTGACGATGTTCGCCCCAGGTGGGGGAACCTCGTCGACGTAGGTGCCTGTGGACTTCCAGGAAGCCATCTCTGCGTCCATGGCTGTCTGCCACTGAGAGGAGTAGGGACCCTCCATCGCCTCTGCGTAAGAGCGTGGGGTCGGGATGTCTGGTGCATCCGGGTCTCCCTCAGGGGCAATCAGCATGGACACGAGATGAGGTAAAGCAGCGGCAAAGCACTCAAACTCCTCCTGTCTGTCCTCGAGGACGTCCGTGTCAAGAGCACACTCACCCCCGACGGACGGAGGACAGACAGACTCAGACTCAGCAACAAGGCTAGCGGCGTAGTCTAGACGACAGGCGGCAGCAAAGTCAACAAGCTCAGCGACAAGAGCAGACGCAGCAGAGGACTCAAAGGTAGGGTCAGTGACAATAGTGGCGAGGAAACGCGTGATAGTAGGACTGGCAGCACGAAGAGAGTCAGACTCCGGGTCCGGGCCGTCAAGAAGAGAGGACGCAGGAGAAGACGGCAGAGGGACACGCTGTGGAGCAGTGGAAGGAAGCTTCCGCTCAGCACCTCCTGAACCAGCAGAGACAGCACCAGCACCCTCAGCCCCAGGGTCTCCAGCTCCAACTCCCACAGCACCACCAGTAACCCCAGTAGCTCCAGTACCTCCAGCTCCAACTCCCGCAGTCGCTCCAGTCCCAGCAGCTCCAGTACCTCCAGTACGAGCACCTCCAGAACCAGCGGCTCCAGCAGCTCCAGCACCAGCAGAACCTCCAGTAGCTCCAGCACCAACAGCTCCTCCAGCAGCGCCAGCACCAGCAGCACGTCCAGCAGCAGCAGTGCCTCCAGCAGCTCCAGCACCAGCAGCACCTCCAGCACCAGCAGCGACTCCAGCAGCTCCAGCAGCACCACCAGAAGCTCCTGCGCCAGCAGCACCAGCACCAGCTCCAGGGTCCGCGGCACCAGTAGCTCCACTCCGGAGACTGCAGCGCCGAGCGTACCACTCTCGGAGCCGCTGGGGAGAGGGCGGCTCCCGCCTAGGCGGGGAACCACGAGCACCAGCTCCAGCAGCACCTCTAGCCCCAGAAGCGCCCCTCCTGAGGCTGCAGTACTGCGAGTACCACTCCCGCAGCTGCTGTGAAGAGGGAGCGCCTCCAGGCGCAGCACGGTCAGTCGCTGCACCCCCAGGCTCAGGACCCTCAGGCTCAG